CGGTATAATAAAATATATTAAGCTGCATACGGTATAATAAAATATATTAAGCTGCATACGGTATAATAAAAGATATTAAGCTGCATATGGTATAATAAAATATATTAAGCTGTATATGGTATAATAAAATATATTAAGCTACCTATAGTATAATAAAAGATATTAAGCTGCATATGGTATAATAAAATATATAAAGCTGCATATGGTATAATAAAAGATATTAAGCTGCATATGGTATAATAAAAGATATTAAGCTGCATATGGTATAATAAAATATATTAAGCTACATATGGTATAATAAAATATATTAAGCTACATATGGTATAATAAAATATATTAAGCTGCATATGGTATAATAAAAGATATTAATAAGAATTTGTGAAAATGTAATTTTAACAAATAAATAAGATATTTACATGTTGAATCAGATAAACAATCTATCCCATACCTCTGTGTGAGTCTTGTTCATCCTGATACTAGAGTATGTGTTACTCTTCTCATGTATTACTTTGGTCTTGTTCATCCTGATACTAGAGTATGTGTTACTCTTCTCATGTATTACTTTGGTCTTGTTCATCCTGATACTAGAGTATGTGTTACTCTTCTAATGTATTACTTTGGTCTTGTTCATCCTAATACTAGAGTATGTGTTACTCTTCTCATGTATTACTTTGGTCTTGCTCATCCTGATACTAGAGTATGTGTTACTCTTCTCATGCATTCCTTTGTTTCATTTATCTGTCGCTTACGAGGGCGGCGGTTTTTTTGTTTGTTTTTGCCTAGTTGTGTGAGGTAAGGCAATGTTTTGTTACTCTCCATTATTCCGTTAGATGTTAGAATTAGGATACATCTTATATACAATTATATAGATAGATACACATATGGTGGATACTTACGGTTATGAATACAACTGAAGTTGTATTAAAACTATTTAAATGACGTAATAGATGAATACCTATAACTTTCAAAGTAATGACGGTGTTAACAGTCCTGGCCTTATGGAAGTCTACTCGACACCTGTATTCTCCAGCGTCCTCTTCCTTCACTGGATCCAGCTGTAAGAAAGCTGGTCTGTTGATCATGTTAAAATAGGCTCGGTTCTCCAGCTGAGGACCAGAGGACTGATGGGCTTGATCCACGTTACCCCGGCGGGAGTCCAAGGTGTAAATAGGCTGAGCAGAGTCATCTTTATACCAGAGGATCAGAGCAGCGGAGTCATCAGTGGAGGGGGAGGAGATATCACATGGAAGAGCCACTTTACCACGTACAACTGCTGTGTACAGGATGGAAGCTGTAATGAAACATAGAGTGAACTGTTGGCATCTAACACATATATCAAGGGTAAATCTTGACATGTTTTAAAGCTAGAAATGGTAATTTGTAGCAGCTTATCCTACTGTTATGTTACCAAGCAAGATATGATATGCAGAATTTCCTAAAAATGTCTTGACATTTTTCGTTAAGAAATGTCAGAATAACAACAAGCTTCACTTTTTAAATCGTTTTGGGGCTTCAAATTTTACAAAACATACAACTTCAACTTCCAGATTTTGTACTACTCACTCTCCGATTGACAAAGAGATATTTGTGGTTTTGTAGTCAAGAGTTTCCTGGCTTCTACCTAAGTTCTTAATTATCCATAATTATATTTTTTGCAAGCACTCTTTACTCTCAAGTCTTTTTTAATTGTCTTCACGCGAATAGGCTTTGCGTCCTTTAAGGAGTGCACTTGGCTATGAAAAGATTGACTTTTTCAAAGATTTTCACATCAGTGATTTATATAGCTTGTAACAGAGCTCCAGCGCTAAGCCTGACGATTCAAAATGTTTAAATCTATCATTTTCCTTTGAATGAAAATGCTAACATCAGATATTTCTGATATATGCTCGTTTATATATGAATAAAACACCAACTTTCCAGATCTGGAACGTTCCTACAAAGTTTATGACCTGAAAAGAGTATACATACATGTATATTCTCTCATTAAACGTCCGTATGAACAGATAATGTACCATATAGTGAAACTTATACACCACTAAGATGTCCCATAATGTATTCTAATTTACCAATAGTTGTTTAAACGATAATGAATATAACTTTTGTTTGTTTATATAAAAATTTCCTTTCACGTTCTGTATTATAATTTGTTAACCTTCGACAAAAATGTATGAAAACAGTTAAAGGAAAAGTAATTTCCTTATTCAAAATAATCAAAAAACATCGTCGATCAATAATGAAATATTGAAATAATTTGTAATATTTGCAGCCGACACTGTTGCCTTCGTAGTTATCAAGAAAACTAATAACTCCACATTTGATTATTTGAAAATTATAATATATTTTTAAATACTTTGCGCTATATTTTTGGAAGCATGATTACATTTCAGAACAAAAAAGGGTAATTTTCACATGTATACACAGTTACCAGGTCAATGTGATTATCATTTTATGGCTATTCATACGGAGTAAGCTTAAGAAAATGTGCAATGGAAGCACCAGTTTAGCATTGTAGATTACCAGTTGCTAGGGAAGCATCAGTTTAGCGGTAATCTACAATAAGTTGCTAGGGAACCACCAGTTTAATATTGTAGATTACCAACTGCTAGGGAAGCACCAGTTTAACATTGTAGATTACCAGTTGCTAGGGAAGCACCAGTTTAGCATTGTAGATTACCAGTTGCTAGGGAAGCACCAGCTTAACATTGTAGATTACCAACTGCTAGGGAAGCACCATTTTAACATTGTAAATTACAAGTTACTAGGGAAGCACCAGTTTAACATTATAGATTACCAACTGCTAGGGAAGCACCAGTTTAACAATGTAGATTACCAGCTGCTAGAATAGCGTGGTAACGTAGTATTTCGGAACATTCTTTAAGCAATTTATTCTGTACATGACTGTAATATAAGTTGGACTATCTAATGTTTAACATGTTTCAATGCTAAGTACCTTATATACTCTTAAAGGTATCTGCTTATCATTTTGACGTGTTTAAGGAATGGGAATGATCTTTAATATTTTTGTAGATTGAACAGAATATAGTTTGAAACCAGGTTAAGTAGGTTCAGGTTTCTAGAATTTCGCGCAAAGCTACACGAGGGCTATCTGTGCTAGCGGTCCCTAATATAGCAGTGTAAGACTAGAGGGAAGGCAGCTAGTCATCACCACCCACCGCCAACTCTTGGGGTACTCTTTTCCAACGAATAGTGGGATTGATCGTCACATTATAACGCCCCCACGGCTGAAACCCGCGACTCTCAGATTGCGAGTCGAGCACCCTAACCACTTGGCTCCAGGTTAAGTAAATAAAAGTGTAGTACAGTCTGAGTACTAAATGTGTTTTCGTATAAAACTCTATAGCGTGACCTACACATTTCACGAAAGTACGATTTTCTAAAGTTCGTTATATTCCTGTTTCATTTTTTTTTCATTGTTTATTGTAAAATGTTAACACAGGTCTAAGTGAATTTTTCAAAGAAACAGACGAGCATTTTGATGAATTCTAACCTATTATTTCTTTCTTTTATTAAGTGAATAAATTTATTGAGACAGTAACAAAATGTCTCATTGATTAGTTTCGTTTTGAATTTACTTACTGATTACAAATAATATATTATTACAACTCACCGCTCTCCATTAAGGAATAACTAGCAAGAGACTCGCAAAACATTTCCGGCCAAATTAGTATCTTTATCGTAACAGTACTTTAAATATAACATTTCTAGCACAGTACAAACGAATTGTAATGGTAGACAACGAAATGTGTAAATCCACTTGTATATATAACTTATGTTAGGCCAAAGTTCAATAAAGAGATAAATTAACAGGGTAA